GGAACGTATCTGAAGCTCACTTGCATGTTGAAGGAAGAACTTAGCCCTGCGCTGACCATCAAAATCCATATTCTATTTATGCATGACTCACCTTGGGAGAACATAATTAATTATCACGACTTAGACAGTCGTCATTACCGTCTGCGTAACTGCTCTAATTAACAAATTAAAAAGCCAAAGTGCATTATAGCGGAGCTCATGCGCGCCGAGGGCACGTGACTATATCGCGGGCTCAGGTATAGAACTCATCGAGGTTGCGTGTTTTTTTAAAGTTGACCGCTGACCAGTTACTGGTTTACCGATTGGATCGGGCTCAAGTCACGTTATTTCTCTGGGGAAGAAAGGAGTACTCGCAAAGGCAAAATTTCGGCGCAAATTAATCCCTGGCGCGTTGTTGACTTTTCTTTTGGCATATTCCTTGTACAATCGTCTCTTGGAACGTCCCTGATATATTGCGTACGTAATTTCTACAATCTTGGTTAGGCTTATTGGGAATAGTTCGTAAAAATGTAATTGGAAAAAATAGCAAAACCACACGCTAAACAATTACATGCTCATAATTGATCATTTTTTGAGTTTCTTATCCAAGAAAAATAATTCTATTTTTCTTTTATTGTCAGTTATTGCAATGAGAAGCTCCGCTTTTTGGCTTGGTTAAATCTATATATTATATAAAACACAAGAATTTTAACCCACCGAGTGTCTTTATTCATTTATTTATTTTTTTAATTATTTATTTTTTGGCATTTTGTTTAGATTTTTACAGCAAACACTGACCAAGATACCGTTGTATATCACCTTCTAAGCCTGCCAATCAAAATACGTTACATTCGAGTTGTTCCATGGACATGGCACAGTCATATTTCTATGAGAATGGAACTCTATGGTTGTCCAGGTAGCTCAATATGTTTGTACTAAAACAGTGTATTAACACGCGAAGCTCGTTCTACATCCGCTTTGCTGGGTTTCGGTACGTCTTGCTGTGAATATGCGCAAGCTAATTTCCAGGTATTTTTAAGAAGCTTTAAAAAAATAAGACTGTAAAAATGTAACTCTAAAAATATATAAAATTTCATTTGTTCTACATAACAATTCTTGCTCTTAACGAGGTACTATAAGATAACGAAAGGTAATTAAATTGCATTTCCTCTAATACAAATTGTCAATGCCGATATCAGTTTTATTTTATTTTATTTTTTTTGTTTCGTAATCTACTGTAGGTCTTATACGTCGGGTAACATGAGGTGGCGTGGCGAGGGTAAAATTGCTATTGTGAAAATGCACAAAAAAATACAAATGCCATCCTAACAGAATCCTCAAATAGGCTTATATAGACTATTAACCCTATTCATAGCTGGGGTTGCTATAGAGGCCTCGCCAACTTTGAACGTTTGCAAATTAAAAATCATTGAAGCAAAGAGTTTTAGACATAATGCCTTTTCCTGAACTTTACCTGTCAAACGATTTGACTATATATTTTGAGCCAGTTTTTGTGGCGTTATAAATCATCCAAGTTCCATTGTCATAGCTTTTTATGGTATAGGGGTTATAAGGCGAGTGTGTCAAAAGCCAACCTCCCCCCTGTCTCAGAAGACAAAAACGCTCTGTCTGAATAGGGTTGATGTCATACCAGGTAACAAATTGAAAATTGTTCACAAGGTAGTACTTTGATAATTGAACTCTGTGTTTCACCGTCTTTTCTTTTGCGAAGAATGTCAGGATCCTCTTGGAATGGAAAGCCGCGCCCTCTCCGACGCTCAGATTTCTGCTTCGTCCGAGTGGGATCCGAACCATGCGGCCGTACAAGGGAGACTGAACTTTCAGGCAGGTGATGGGAAGAGCGGAGCCTGGTCGGCGAAACAAAATGATCAAAATCAGTGGTTCCAAGCGGATCTGGGCTGCAGCAAAAAAATCACACATTTAGCGACGCAGGGGAGGAATTGATATAATCAATGGGTGACCAGTTACAAAGTGGAATACAGTAACAATGACGCGTCCTTCCATTGTTATCAAGAATATGGCATCGACAAGGTATGTGAACTTACTTATACTTGCTTAGTACATCCCTCTGGAAACCTGCTGAGGCC